TGAACATTTAGATTGAAGAAGTAAGCTATGAATAATAAAAGAAAGTGTAGTTTAGTATTATAAACTTATAAGTTTAAAAATCTAAAAAATATACTCAATTATTTTTATGGGAATTTGAAGCTCAAATTTTGGTGAAATTAATACTTAAATGATAACATTTTGTTAATTATACTCAGAATATGTGACTACATAAAGCACAATCAAGATAAATCACTTTTTTCACACAACATTTACACTAAATATAACTATTTAGGTAAGTTGTATTTCAAATTATTTTTATGCTGATCGAATGTTGTTATGAATTTAACTAAGATGCAACTATAAATTCTGAGTTATATTTATGAAAACCTTATAAAAATGGATAATAAGTTTTTTTAAATATTTAATTTTTATACAATCTACACTTATCACTCAAACCTGTCTGTTGCTGAATTAAACTCATACTACTCGTAATTAAATATGCATAATCATTTATAAATTCAAATAATAAAGAGCTATTGTACCATAGGTATGCGTAGATTTCAATTTCCGGTCAAGTCTGGAATAATTAATGGTCTAATTCTTGGACAGTGCCCCTAATTCTTTTTTTTTAACACACTAATGTACATTTTAATTGTAAATTAAAAACTATGTAAATAGAGTTAAATTGTATGTGCACACAACATTAATGTGTTAATTTCTAGACATATATTTTTGAAGTTAAAAATAAAATGATATAAGTATTATTATGCATAAAAATAAGAAAACAAAATATTAAAAAAAAAACCTTGATTTAATGAACAAAAAATCGTATATACATAACATTTTATTATACAAACTTAATTAAAGAATTATAAATGATTTCTTCTATTTCCCATACTATTTTGAATTCGTCAATGACCATGTCAATATTAATACTAGATATTAGTTTTGGTCCAGTAAACATTAATAATTAACTATTAAGTCCATATTGATGTATAGTACTCCTTAATTTATTTTTCACTATTGTTAATTAAGAAAATACCCGTTCGCAGGAACAACTTGTAACTGCTATTACACTGAATAATATCAGTGCAGTGAAAAATCCATTAAATAATTTTATGTAATTATTTGCTTTTATATAATCTAGCCACGAATATATTGATTCATTATTAGCATTAGTATCTGGTTGAAATTCTATTATGTCCCTAAAAAGATTTCGGTTGAGACGGTCGAGTCGAACGTACGTTTCTCCTGTTCGCCCCGTATGCACACCTATGCGCTGTACTGCCTATACCCAGCACCTACCTACACTGTTTTCTTTTTGAAATTCATGTTTTATTATTTTATTTTATTCATTATTCAATAATCAAAATTTATTGCATGTAGCATATTTTTAAGAATAAATGTTAAAATTTAAATTTAAAGAATACATTTAATAATAGCTTATAAGATTTATACATTAAATACAATGGTATTATTTACTAGGTAAAGTGTAACATATTATGTTTATCTATAATATATATTATGTGAATAAAATATAGCTCATTACTCATTAGCGTTATAAATCAAAATATATAACTATTGGATTATAACCGTTGTCTTTATTAATATATAATATACGTATGCTAATCTGAGATATATCACACTAAGTTTTATAAGCCGATCAGTGTTCATATTATTGTACAAGATATTAAGAAAACAATAAGATTACAAATATACATAATTAATTATTACATGAATATTGATAAAAATATAAAATAATGCAATAATTACATTTATGTCTGCATTTTATTATATTATTATAAAATATGGAAGGTGATGAATTTTAAAATTGTGTTGGCGTCAAAGTTAAAAAAAAAAAAATCGAATTTACATTTTATTATATATTAAGTAATTATGTATTCATAAACAGACGTTAGTCGATCCCCGTTTGTTGTGTCAGAAGCTTGATCACATACGAACTCATGTAAGCGCTGATTGACATAAATTATTATATTATATGGATTATGACTGATGGGTTAATTTTAAGCTATATTCGATACATATTATTCATATCAAGGAAAATCAATGATTATAAGACAAACAAAAAAAGCAATTACAATACAATAATGTTGAAAGTTTAACTTGGAAGAACTTATTTTGAAGTAATGATTAAATTGGATTTTGAATGGCAATATTATTTCCTACTTCCATATATTCTGTCCATATATTTTTGAATGAAAAAAAAAATAAAAAAGTAGATAGTAATAATTACCTATAAACTTAATAATATTATAATTTTCGTAGTTAAAACTAAATAAAAAACATTAAGCAATAATAATAAAAAAAGAAACTTACAATTTACCAACGTAATCTATTAACAATAAGGCTATAACTATTATAATATATATTTATGTTTGATGGATTACTATCTTACATATTATTTAAGAATATTAAATATTCTTAAAATATATATATATATATATTAAAAATTGTATTAAATTAAATTTTAATTTTAATTTAATTTAATTTAAATATTATATTAAATATAATATTCTTTAATTTTATTAGAATAAATCTTATTAAACCTAAATTATATGGCTAAAGTTTGTGATGCGTATTAAGTTAGATTATCAAATAATTTTCCAGGAAGTTTCAAAATTTCAAATATTTTAAAATATTTTAAAATTCTTAAAGAAAAAATGATAAGGAATTTATATTTAATAGAATATTTTTCGATTATAAATTGATATAATAATAATACATTTATATTAATTCGTATATCAAAAAAAAAAATGAGACAACTAGAAAAAGTGCTCGGAATTATAACTTCCAAATTACAAAATATTGTACTTGTTTCAACTGAGTGTTTTTTTTTTTTTTTATTACATTTGACATTTTTTTGTCTAGACGATATTTTAACAGTGTTTTAAAAGTATTCATCAGATTTTTAGATGTTATTTTCCATTAATTATGTACAATTTGTTGTTTTTATTGATATTTAATATGACACACTGTCTTTCTATTTATCCAGATTTTATTATAAATATAGTTGTTATCCAATTTTTGTAATAGATAATTAATAATTAATTGATACATTTTTTATTTATAAATATTTGACAAAAACAAAAAAGTTGCTATAAGTAACGGTTGTTAGGATAATTTTAAAATTGTCTACGGAAGTAATGCAATAGTAACGATTGACTACACAGATATAATACGAGTAGTTTACAGTTTTCTCGAAAAAAAATTAACTATACAGTCCACAAACAGTCATAAAACAAAAACTATAAAATAATAACACTACCTTTTTTATTTTGAATAAAATATATGATAATGATAATTTTTAAAGTAATTTCGGTATTTAATAGATTATTATAGTTATTACTTATTTTAAAATATAGGACACTAAATATAATTTTAATTAGGCATTAAAAGTCGATTGCATAATAATTAATACAATCTATGACTAGTCTTATCAATAAATATAAAGTATATTATTATAAAAAACAAATTTTTAACCTACATATTATTAACAGTCTTAACACAAGTGTGTTTAAGAAAGAAATTCTATACCTAATGTGTTACAAGTGATTTATTTTTATGTAATAAAAAGCGCAATAGTCTTAGTTCAAATATCTAAAGTAATTATAGCATTTCACTCAATTTAAAAAGAAAGAGTTAAAAAAATACATATTTCTATCAGTATTTGAACTTTTAGTTAAATTATTATATAAATATATATGTTTCTATCAAATTGTTATTTATTGAAAAAAATAAAATGATTTATTGTGATATTTTGTATATTTAAGTAAATATAATATATTTACATAAATTTCCTATCTATCTATACGCTTTCATACAGAGAATGAGATAGTACATAAAATATGTAAATTAAAATAGAGCTGGGAAGTTATTGATAAATTTTGAATTGGTTTATGCAAATACATTTTTTTCATAGTAATCCTAATAACTCCAGAATTGTTTCAAAAATATATTGAATAACTAATTGATCAAAAACAAGACATTTTAAATATTTTGACATGTTTAAATTTAAAACTCGAAAATATTAATACGAAACGGTTATACCTACTTACTAGTTGAATATAACGTTGCATATCTACTGCATATATCATACTAAATAGTAGATTATTTATATTATTTTCTATAGTATTGTGGCTATTTAAAAATTAATATAAAACTATAACAAAATTTTTAATTTGAATTGATTATTTTGTAGTCACTTTAAAAATATCAAGATATATTTTAATTTACTTAAAATTATTAATTACTTATTATTAATTACTATTAATTACTTAATTATTAATTATAAAATACATTTTCTAATTATTATTTAACGTTTTAAAACCATTTTCATTGTTTTTTTTTTTTTTTTACAGATTGATAATCTTACAGTATTAATACAATTTTTTTAATTTAAGTAATGTTTTTAAATGATTTATTTATGTTTATTCGGTTTATGTATTATTTTACTGTAACAGTATATCGTATTTTAAATTTAAATCACGCCACCGGAGTGTTAAGATTAGATTGAGTGTCGAACAATTAGATTTTCATTCCTAATTGATAATTTTATTGTATGTATCTTTTGCAGTATAGTACTTAGCGGTTTTAGCAACATTTGTAATGGTCGAACTCGATTCTAAATAAGACGGGAATCAAACAAATCACGGCGACTTGCGTCAACAGGAGAATGTAATCTTTAAATGCGATAATTAAATTCGAACATCTGATACCACAGTCATCACGATTCTCGTGAAAAACTAAACGAGCGAATTTTCGTTTTATTTTTAATCAGTTTTCGAATAAAGCAGTAAAAAAAAAAAAAAAAAAAAACACACTGACTACTAGTTAAATCTGTTCTATCTAAATAAAACGTTAATGAATAGAATACATATTAACTTTTAATATTTTTTGCAATTAGTTAAAAACTATCTACGATCGATATAAAAAAAAAAAAAAATTGTACATATATATATATATATATATAATACGAAATAGGTATCAAACACAAGAAGGGCAGAAGTAAATTAAATTACCGAAATAATAGGTATGAGCGTGCCACAGTTGGGGTCCCGCAACTGTCCCGCGGCGGTGGCAGCGGTGGTGGCGGACGACGACGACGACGACGACGACGACAACGACGACAGCAACGACGTCGCCTGTGGATGGTCAACCGCGAGACGCCGTGCGATCGGCACTACCGTTGGCGTGCATGCATGTACTACTGAGCGCGGAAAAAACTGCCTCGACAACCCGGCGAGACGCTGTGCCGGTGCGCGCGCGCGCGCTCGCTCGCGCCCTCAGAAAACGTATGCACGCACCCCGCCGCGGCACCGTTCACCGCACCATCCTTCACGTCGGCCGCCGCCACCCCCACATTTCAACCCCTCGCCACACCAACCA